ATAAGTAAATAGACTTGCAATATATGTTTCTGGAGCTATTTAGCAATCAGTTCAAAGAAAGAAAGTGCATAATATACAGAAAAATTATAACGAGAGAGAATCCTTTGCTCAATCACCTCACTTCTCTTTGACATAGGATGTTAGAGCGTCTGCATCGATTTTTGAGGATAACCTGGATAATGGATAGATCACACGGTAAAATATCATTTCTTATAAAACTAAATATTTAGGATTGATAGTTGTAAGAGTTTTCAAAGGCTGTAACTTCAGAATTATTCTTGGGCTTATCTTCATAGAGTGACAGCAGTTTTTTGTGCCCTAAAAGCGGGCATCTTGTTTAATTGAGAGCAAAAAAATTAGTGTTCCAAGGGGCTTCTTTTTCCCGCCATGGCCAAGATCCAGATCCCTCCTTTTTTTCTAGAAATTTCTTGAGTGGTATAAATAATGAGCGTCAAGATAAAAAGGCATTACTTTCTAAGTTATTCTTTGTAGTAGTGGTTTCTATGTAGTGCTAATTTGTTCGTATGTTTTCCATTGTTATGCTAGCTTAAAAGGGATGTGGATTTATCCTTGAAACATTGTTCTTCCACCTTCACAGGGTAAGAATTGCTAAATCTCATTAGGAATTTTTTGGCAGGGTAGTCAGAATAAAGATGGCGCTTTGGCCCATGAATCGCTACATGGACGAGTTCACGAGGGACTTTGACCGTTGTCCAATGCGAATGCCCATGGTACCCAGGGAAAGGGATTGGTTCGACCGTCCAATTATGCCGTACTGGAGGGATGCGGACCATTCCGTTCTGCATGTTGGGAACGAAACAAAGGAGGTTGTCAATGATGATAAGAAGTTCGCTGTCTCCTTGGATGTGTCACAGTTCAAACCGGAAGAACTAAGGGTACATCTTGATGGGCGTGATCTCACTATTGAAGGGAAACAGGAGGAGAAGACGGAACATGGATTCATTGAGAGGTCTCTTTTCTCTAAACTTTCGTTTTATTTCATAAATTTCCCATAATTTAGATCATTCATGCGTAAATGGTCTCTGCCGGATGACTGCGATCTAGATGCCGTCCAAACCCATCTAACTGACGTTGGCCATCTTTCTATTGAGGCTCCAAAGACTGGTCAACATACCCACAGAAGAACTCTACCAATCATGCCAGCACCAAAGAGAAAGTAATCAAGGAGTCTCTACTGTACAGCATGTAAAGAGTTTTATGGATAAAAATAAACGTTTTAACCTGAATTTTGAACGAATTTACAAGCAGGTAGTCATGAT